TGCCTTTCCCAATTAAAAACTGAGTTGTCACTCTGCTTAGAGGAAGCTGCCTAGTTTGAACTGATTCAGCCTCAGGCTTTTTGACTGTCTGTACTTAGCACAGCAAACTTGGTCCCTTTACTCATGTGGAGCTAGTTGCATTTCTTCCATGGAGCACTCTAGCATGGAAGAGGGTTATTGTCCTCCATGGTACTGCTTTGGATGCCAGAGAACCACAGCTTACTAAGCTGTTTTTGGTCATTGCTTAGGTGCTTAGGATATTTCAGTTTTTGTTCTGTAATGAAAAGAAATCCCACATGTCAGAGAGGGGAGCAGAATGGTGCCTTATCTCTGAATCTGTATTAAGGGCAATATTGGAGCAGCAAGGTACTGGAAGAGGGTGAAGATAAAGCAAAAACTAAGGAAAGGTGTATAGGCAGACTTCTGGAACCAAACATGGCAGAAAATGAAATAGTTTGATAAAGCTGGCCAGGAGATGAGTTTGCTTTAACAGTGAGGGGAAGCTTGGATTGAACCTACAAGAGCAAAAAGAGGAAAGTTATCTTGACAACCACGTTTGCATAAGTATGAGAGGGAGAGAGAAGTAAGGGAGTCAGTGGAGAAGTTAAAGCAATACTTGTCAAGCAGAAGCATAACTAACAAGGTTTGTTCCCTGCGAAGAGTGGGGAGATGCTCAGTGCCAGAGAGGAGGAGTCTGGAGGGTCAGTCTTACCTCTCCTAGGATCGAAAGCTCCCAGCTGCTGCTGCTGCTTGCTTGCTCTTAGCTGCTGGTGCAGAAGCTGGCTTCAGTGGCATGATGTCCCTGTACCTGGCTAATGCCTTGGCATTGGGCTGCTGTTGCCATAGCAAAGACTCCTTGAGGGGCCACCATTCCAGCATCACTTCTAAGTTGATGCCTGGGGATCTTATCCCATGTACTAATTCCTGCTTATACTACTGTTGTTATGGTAAAAACAATGCTGTTGAAATATCTAAGATGGTACATAGGAAGGAAGGAAGTTGCCAGAGCAGCTACTAGGATTTGTAAGTAGCAGTAATGAGAAATATGAAGTGTCAGAATCTTATATAAAGTGAGAGGAGAAGAAAATATTACATGGTTATTATTTCTTTGAAGGGTCTTGTGTCATCAAAAACACTAGAGATAAACTGGAGGTATTTGTGGGAGTTAGAAAGAGCTTTGCCACTTAAAATCTGCTGGGCGTGGAGTTTTGAGACCATTTTATATGTTGCTACTACTGTAATAATTATATAGATTTGAAAATAGAATCCAATTTTCAAGAAATAAGTATGAAAGAAAGGTAAATTAAAATGTATTTTCTTTCACTATATTTTTTGCTGAGATTTATTGACTTTTTCTTCTCCTTAACTTGTTGTAAAGTCACAAGAACTTTACATTTTGACAGCTGAATTTTATTTTCTAGTGGGGACAAAGTACGCCAGAAATAAAAAGGACATTCAGATCCATCTTTACTATCTTTGAATGGAATCGTTCTTTTTCTTTTTAACCAGTATTATTCAGACTGATGACAAGTGCAGTGTCACTTATAAAACTTAGTGGAAACCCAGTGCATTTTGAGATTCCCCATTGCCGACTTATACTTTGTACATAAAGCACTATAAAGCTATGTACTTTGTAATGCAAAGTTTGGTTTGCTTCTAGGAGAGGAAAGTGGATATCCTTTCAGAATAATCCCTACAATGTTGGTAATAGTTCTTTTTCAATGGCAGCAATTAAAAGGCTTAAGAGATGTCTAAGTAGAATATATTTTAGTGTATACCACACAAAAAGGTCAGGTGATGGTTGATTAAGTTATCTGCTGTTTAGTAGGGAATTCCCAAATAAGTTTTTCAACTATATATTGAGGATATATGCTGGATACAATATTTACCTTGGTAGTATACTAAGACATTTATACTGCCCTTATTGCCATAGCATGAGAGTATCTGTAGATTTCATAATATCTGTCACAAGGATGCAGACTACTATTCTGATGAAGATTATATATTAAAAAAACAAAAGGCTACCAGATATATTTAATAAGCATATTTTCTTAATGTGTATTTTAAAATTAATGAGCCAGATGCAAAATATAAGGGGGTACAAATTAGACTTCCTTATAAATGGGTCTCCATGTTATTCATAAGTTGCAAAGGTGAGTGAAAAAGAACATACCTCATCCTGAACCAGTGGAGCTGACACAAGCCATGCCTGCTTGTTCACAAAGAGAGAACCTTTTGGACAATCCTTGCTATCTATTTGAGCAAAACTTTTGGTGAATGTTTGCTCTGTTTACAACATTCTCGAGGCCTTCACAGTCAATTTTGATATAACCCTATTCATTGTCAGAAATAGTAACACCACTAGTATCACAAGCACCCTCTTGAGGTGTGAGAGGGATTTGACTTATGTGACCGGCTCCTGGTGCCTTGTCGGGTACTATGCCTTTTCGTTTAGAGAGACAGAAACAGACATGAGGAGTGCTGGCATTCTTATGTGCAACCTTGATATGAGCTGTGCAGTTGTGTGTCACAGTGGTGTTAGTGGTTGTTGGTGATTCTTATTACCACAAGTCAGGCATCCTATTATGCTAGACATTGTACAAATGTGGAACAGAAATATAGTCCCTGCCCTAAAGAATTTACAGTTTAAAAAAAAATCAAAGGACAATAGGGGCATACAGAAAGAAGTGGAGGGAGGGTAGAATGAAACAGTTTCCCTGTTTTCCACCTTTGTTATTGCCTCAGTCTTTACTGAACTGAACATCAGCAAGGCAGCCCCCCTACTGGTCCTTGTTTCAGCCAGACACTGCCTCATCTGAGTCAGATAGAGCAAGAGAAACATACAGCTGAGCCTCCTCAACACACTAGAGTCCATACTCAACATGTGCTTTAACCATGCAGATTTAGAGGTGACATTGCTACCTCTATACCACCACTGCTATTAAAGGTGGTAAGTTGAGGGTTTGGCTGGGCAAAAAAAAGAAAGGCAAGACCATTATTGTTCTTTGACTAGCCCTAGTTGGCATGCAGATAAATATGAGGCCATATTTAGTTGGTAGTATTTAGTACTGGGGAAAAAAAAGTGATTCCTTTTGTTGTCCCCCACTGCATCTCGGGAGTGGCAGTTGGAGAATTGAACTCCATATTTTTGGCAGAATTTCTTCAGGATTGAATGTCCATGAGGCTACTTTAATGAACACCAAAATGAAATGGTTCCCTGGAATTGGAGAAGCACAAAGTGTTGTCCAGTCATCTTCCCCCCTGGCCCTATATGGGCCCTGTGCTATTGTTTTGTCTTCTCTTTTTAACCGATATGTGTAAATCCTGAGTTATTGTGATGTGGAAACTAAACTGAATGTTCTATTTTGTGCTGTTCTCCCATTTTGAGTAAGGCTTCTTGCTGGCACAACAGAAGCAGCATTTCAGAAAATAGTTTGTTCCCATTAGTGTTCATTTGTAAATGTAGGGATAAAAAGAGGCACATTTGAAATTTATTGTCTTACAATGAAACAAAAAGTACTAATGTTTTGCATGAGACACTTCAAGATGAGCTTTTATAGTAGCTTCATACAACATTTCAACGTGGCATCTTTTCCTACTTCAGTTATGACTTTTTCTGTGTAATTTTTTTTATAGGCCATATTTGTCAATTCCAGTTGTCAAGTATTTTGCAGCACTTATAACATGACCCAAGAGCATTGGTTTGGTGGATAAAATTCTGCAGCTGAGTCACTTTGAGAAGCAGACAAGGATAATCTATACAGTGCTTGTTGTAATGTGTATGATGTAACCATATATTTAGCTTACTCTGGTTTTACTCTGTCATGATGAAATAACTGACTGATAGCTTCAGTGTCCCTATTTTCATAGCAAAAAGTAGCAGGATAAAGAGGGGAGTGCAAAAGAGATTTGGGATCTAATTCTCTTCTCACTGGAATGATGTGAATTGGTAGAAACTCCAGTGAAGTCACAGTATAAAACAAAGAATCTGTTTTAGCAAAATATGAATGATTCTGTTTTATAGATCAAATAGCAGGTAGTGCATTTTTTAACGTTTGTATTTAATGAGGCATATATCCTCATACTTTGATAGAGCAGCATAATCAGTTCAAAGAAGTTGGCAGTAATTTCAATATAGCAGGCATTATTTTCTTCTGTAAAATACAACTTCTCTCCCCCTCCCATCAAAACAAAATAGACATGTGTATAATTATGACATAACAGGAAGAATCCTTCTATACTATGAATCATAGAATCAATGAGTCAGAAGGGACCTAGACAGATCATCTAGTCCAACCCCCTGCCATGGGCGGGAAGGACCACTGGGGGTGGGAGGGGTCATAAGACCCCAGCCAGGTGCCTTATGACTCCTCTCACCCCCAGTAAAATATCATAACTGGTCTTTGGAGATGTGCTATGAATATCTTAAGTGTTGGCATTTATAGATAAGAATTCAACCTTAGTTTTATGTCAGTTAAAATTATCACTGATGCAAGAAAAACCATAAAATATTTTTTGTGCTGCTGTCGTAAATGATTGTTTTTGTATAGTAGGATTTTACCTTGCTGGAGGTGGCAGATATTAAAACAATAGGATGTCTTTGGAGATCATTGTTTCTGGCCCTGGAAAGTAATGTTTAACACTTGCAGTTATACGGATGGAAGTAAGCTTCCAAGTATTTAATTAAACTAAAAACACATTATTTCACTGAACAGGAATACTCGGCTATCTTTGGATCCAGGCGTCATCTATATATAGCAATGATAGTTTTTAAATTCTGTTTTCAATCAATTCTAATGTTGTATTTGATCTGGTTTTACAAAGTCTTCTGAAAATTGCTCTATTTTTAATTTTTCTCCTTAGAGTCATGTTTTATTCCTGCTAAATAAGACACAAATCAAAGGGTTTTTTTTATAGTGGTTAGAGGTTTAAAAGCTGATAGGTCATTTTTATTAGTGGAACAAAATAGCTTTTAACATTTATTCTAATTTCCTTTCCAGTTGAAAGATGTATGAGTGTAATGCAGTCTGGGACTCAGATGATTAAACTGAAGAGTGGAACAAAAGGACTGGTACGCCTTTTTTACCTGGATGAGCACAGGACCTGCATCAGATGGAGACCATCCAGAAAAAGTGAAAAGGCTAAAAGTAAATTCTCTTAATAATTCTTTTAATTATGGGTACATGTCATAACTGGTATATGAATTACAGAGAAAACTAAGACAGATTTGTTTTTTATTGTATAGATATTTTTCTGATACTTTAGTGATGTATTCTGGCAAGTTGCTCTGTAGGACAGGTCAGGAGGAGGAGAATGCTGTCTTTTGCAGACCCTCTGTTCATGTGACAAGATTAGAGCTCCCAAGATATATATTATCTTGCAAGATTCAGTAATTCAGCAACAAGCATACTTTTTCATAATAAATTTATATCAGGATCCAGCTCCAGAGTCAAAGAAAAGCAATTTCATACATTTATGATAATTTTAAGAAATATGTGAAAGATGTTTTAATTGTATTTAATAAACACAAAAATCCACATAAATTTTAAGTACCTCCCCTTTCTATTCTTCCCTCTATCCCAATATTGAATTGTGACAGGCTTTTAATAAAGCAGTGTTACAGAAGTACCTAACTGAATAAAAGTAATTTGGCTCAGGCTTATTCCGGAAGATATTTTTATGAAATGTCTAAGCAGAAGATGTTTTTGGCAAACATCTAATGAGAAGAGGTTTTTAGCAAAAGAAAGAATCCTGGCACCTACTTTTAGAAGGTGGCTCCTGACCCCAGAGTAACCTTACATACACTGAGGTCAGTGGTGGATCTTCAGCTATGGATTGTGATCTCATCAGTAATGTGAACCAGAATACAGTGGAACATACAATAAATCATTATGCGTATGCATTGTGGGTATAGACGAATTTCCTGGCTGATGTTCTACACTCCTTAGTCTTTTCGAGAGTGTTTATTTGATTTGTATTATACTGTATTGAGGGGTTTTGACTGTTGCAAAACACTCTGCATGGACACTGCTGGAATGGGTATATTATAAATATGGGTAGTAATACATGAATATATACTCTAAAAAGACCAGTAATCCATATGAAGTACAAACTTAATTTCTGATGGGGTGTGCGAAGCAGGTCCTATTCAATTTAGATTCGTATTTGGCCCGAATCAGGGACAGTGATTCAATTAGTTGAGTCAGATCTCTGTCCCTGATTCGATTTGGCTGAATCCAAATCTGAAGACACAGCTTTAAATGTTTTTTCTACATACTTTGTGGTACCATGCATGACTCACAAATGGTGTGATGCTGGGGTGGATGGAGCATCCCACAGGTGTGCGGTGAGGTCCCTCCACATGCTCAGCAGTGAACCCGGAAGTGGTCCACTGGGTGTGCATTGTATGCACACGTTCTGAACCTGTGCAAGGGCAAGGCTAATATTTGATCTGCCTTTCCAGTGCAGTTCCAATGTGATGGCCTGTAAATTTACCTTTATTTAAAAAAAAACAAAAAACCAAAAAACTGTGAGTAGCAGAGAATAATCTGAAATACAAAACAAACTGAATGAACATCCAGCCAATCTAATTTTCTATTCCCCTTTCCTTTGCAGTTATAATTGACTCAATTTATAAAGTCACAGAAGGCCGACAATCAGAAATATTCCATCGCCATGCAGAGGGGAACTTTGACCCAAGTTGCTGCTTTACCATTTACCATGGAAACCACATGGAGTCACTAGATCTGATCACTTCTAATCCAGAGGAGGCTCGGACCTGGATCACAGGACTAAAATATTTGATGGCTGGAATAAGTGATGAGGACTCTCTTGCTAAAAGACAAAGAACTCACGATCAATATCCTTTCTAGAACTTTATCTCCAGTTTCCAGTTTGGTATTTCTACTTTGTTTTTTCTGGTGTTGGTATTAGTAGTCCATTCCACCTCCCACAGGAAACAATTGAAATGTTTGCTTTTGGTAGGAGAGGAATTTGTTCATGGGTTCAAAGAATTGTCTTTACAAATTCAAAATAATTTCTGATCTTCCCAATGAGTGAAAGTTTTCCAATCCTCTTATTTCATTTTCTAAAATAGTTTCATAGTTGGTAGGGTTGGAAGGGACCTAAGTAGATCATCTAGTCCGACCCCCTGCCATGGGCAGGAAAGGATACTTGGATCAAATGACCCCAGCTAGGTGGCTGTCTATCCTCCTTTTGAAGACCCCCAGGGTAGGGGCAAGCACCACTTCCCTTAGAAGTTGGTTCCAGTTCCTAGCCACCCTGACAGTGAAGTAGTGCCTCCTGATATCTAGTCTGAATCTACTCTCAGTCAACTTATGACCGTTGTTCCTTGTAACCCCCCGGTAATGCTCAGGGGAACAGAGGGAACTTGCTCCCATTGCCTGCTGGTCCCCCTTGGCAAGCTTATAGGCAGCCACCAGATCCCCTCTCAACTTTCTCTTGTGGAGGCTGAACAGTTTCAGGTCCCTTAGCCTCTCCTCGTAGGGCCTGCCCTGCTGCCTCCTAATCATGTGAGTGGCCCTCCTCTGGACCCTCTTGATGCTGTCCACATCCCTCCTGAAGTGCGGCGCCCAGAACTGGATGCAGTACTCCAACTGCAGCCTAACCAATGTCGCATAGAGGGGGAGGATCACCTCCTTGGACCTGCTCGTGATGCATCTATAGATGCACGACAAAGTGTGGTTAGCCTTCCTGGCTGGGTCCCCACATTGGCAACCCATGTTCATCTTGGAATCAATAGTGACTCCAAGATCCTTCTCTGCCTCTGTGGTGACAAGAAGGGAGTTCCCCAGCCTGTAGGTATGCTGCTGGCTCTTCCCCCCCAGGTGCAACACCTTGCATTTGTCCATATTGAAAACCATCCTATTCTCATGCGCCCATCTCTGTAACCTGTCAAGATCTAGTTGTAGCTTGTCCCTCTCTTCTAACATGCCCACTTCTCCCCACACCTTAGTGTCATCTGCAAACTTGAACAAGGTGCTTTTCACCCCCTTGTCCAAGTCGCTGATGAAGATGTTGAACAGTGCAGGCCCGAGGACTGAGCCCTGGGGGACCCCACTGCCTACATCCCTCTAGGTCGAAAAAGACCCGTCCACCACCACTCTCTGGGTGCAGCCCTCCAGCCAATTTGCAACCCATCTGACTGTGTAGGCATCGACACCAAAGACGCCTAATTTTTTAATAAGGATCGGGTGAGGGACAGTGTTGAAGGCCTTCCTAAAGTCCAGGAAGACTATGTCCACCGTGACACCTGTGTCCAATGCTTTTGTGACCTGGTCATAGAAGGCCACCAGGTTGGTCTAACAGGACCTCCGTGTAATGAACCCATGTGGGTTGCCTCTAAGCATAAACTCCCCCGCTGGCCCCTAGCAGATGTTCTCTTGGATAATTTTCTCAGAGCTTCCCCAGGACCAAGGTAAGACTAACGGGCCTATAGTTTCCTGGGTCCTCTTTCCTCCCTTTTTTGAAAATGGGGACCACATTGGCCCTTTCCCAGTCGTCAGGCACCTCAACAGAGCACCACGAGTGCCTGTAAAGCTGTGCCAGGGGTCCTGCAATTGCCTCTGCCAGTTCCTTAAGCACTCTGGGTTGGAGATCGTTGTTTGAAATGAATTATTTGAAATTACAGCTGCAAAAACTGATTCTTATTTACAAAATTAGGGATTGGTTCTCTCTCTTGAGGGATGCTCGGCCTTCATTAAGGAGATTTGGCACCTCTCACTGGATGCATAGCATTTAACAGGAGTAAAGAGAGCTTAATCTTGGAGAACGAATCAGAAGTTCAGTTTTGACTCGAGTTAACAACCAAGGCCTTCAGGAGGAGATTCTGTAGAGACAGGTTAGCAAGTAGAATTGGATGGAGGATATAGGTTGAGAATAAAAGGGTGGATTGGTGATAATTAAGCAGCTACACTGAAATAATAACTATAAAAGCTGAATAATTACTTATTTAAGGGTATAATTTACCCGTTGGACTTATTACTTTATATTTGGAAGTTCATGGAGCTTATCTGGAGATGTAGTTAATTATTTTGCTGAAATGGGTTTTTTTCCTATTGAAAATAAGATGTTTCATAAAATATATCTGATTACACTCCTGCAATCAAATGAAATAATTTGGAATTTTAAAAGAAATTCAGAAACTTTCAGAAAATTTACCTTCTCTCCATTTTTTTTGTTTTTTTCTTTCTTTTTACATTACACTAAGTGTTGAAAAGTATTTGAAAGATAAAAGCTGATAGAAAGTAACACATTCCCTTTTAAAAGTGACATCTTTCTCACCTTATAACTTCCTCTCAAAGTTTTGGGCTCCACAATTCAAAAAGGATGTGGAGAAGC